AGTTGGAAAATTTTCCAACACTTAGAAAAAAATTCTAAGTGTTTTTGGTCTTAACAAAATCACTACTTCATGGCCATTTTTCACTAAGATCCAAGTTGAATCAAAGAAAACTTTCAAAATGAAAATTGTAGTGATTGATGAATTCTACAACTTTGTCAATGAGGGCCGATCTCCAAAAAGTGCTTAAATTAAGAGATATGAACCAATGAACTTGTGATGTTTTTATCTAACACTTAGAAAAAACTTTCAACAAGTCGTGGTCAGTTTTTCATCTCAACTTCTTAGCTAATTTCCACCAAGTTCCAATTGATTTAGCCAAAGTGGTCAACATGAAAGTTGTAGATCATGTTTCAAGCTTTCCAAAATGTCCAAGAACACAAATTTATCATGCTTGAGCAAGGAGAATCGTAGACTTGAAGTTAGGCATTTCATGCTTGAATTTCAAGTCATTTTGTGAAGAACTCAAGAGCAAATCTCATAACCTTACCATGAAATCTCACTTTTCAGGCCATGTTGCTTCTAAATCTCCACATAATCAGAGATTTACATGAAATTATGGTGTATTACACAGGGATTTGAAGCTTTATCCACTTGATCATACCATTTTTGGATGAAATTGCAAAAAGCTCCATATCCATTTATATAAAGATCACTTTAATCACAAAGTCCACTCCTTGAGCCTCTAACTTGTTTATTCTGATCTCACTCAACATGAATGCTCAGAAGCAACATCTCTAAGCCTACCAACCACCCTACAATGCATTGGAACAATGTTTCTTCAAGGTTACTTCAAAATTAAGCTTCCAAACCACAACTTGTAATCTTACAAATCTGGTTGTTTCAACCTCCAAAACCTCTTACCTATAAATAGAGAGACCATTTGCAAACCAATGCACAATTTCATTAGCCCTCAAACACTCTCAAACTCAGAATCACTTGGAAACCACCATTGAAGCTTCCAATATCCAACTTCAAATCCACTCGTGCGTTTGTCTTTTTATCATCCATACACCTTACATACATCACATATAACACATCTAAACACATATTACACTTCTGTAACACCATCTTCATCATCCTATAAACTCCATATTCGAAGCCTGCACATTAACTTGGTTGGAGAGATTCAGACACTTTCAGCATAAAGTAAGGATTGTAATAGCTCCAGGGAGGTCCAGGTAAGCTTAATCAATCATTTACTTGCACCTGGAAGCCTCCGTACGCGTTCTGAGTTTTCACTTCAAGAGGTAAGTTTCTCCAACTTTGAAATCCTTATACATGCATCATTTGCTTTCAGTTTCAAAAGATAAAATGTAGATATGATTGCCCTGAAACTAACCATGTCCTTAGTTTTCATTTATGTTGACTATGTGATGAGAATTTTGGAATTGAAGTTTCAAAAATATTAGGTTTCAGTTTGGTACCAAGAAAAATTTTGTTTCAGCCTTTAACTTATAGCTTTCAAAAGTTACATGGTTGAATTCGTGGTGAAATTTAGAACAACTTTCATGTTTACATTTTTTAAAATGATTTAGAATTGAAGGAGTTAGAAATTTGAACAATGTTGTTGTTGTTGCCGGCACGAGGACGAAGATGAAATTTATTTTCCAATTTTTGAAAACAAGTTTATTATATATTTATTGGGTGTTGTTTCATAACCAGATGAAACAGCCATCCCAGTGGCAAGCGTGTGTGTGTGTGTGTGTGTGTAGGGCGTTAGTATGCCAGGGCAGGGGTTCGATCCCTGCCTCTGGCATTTTATTTTCTAACATTTCTCTTGTAGATGCCATGCCTTACAATCATACGCGTGCACCATGCATCTCCAGTCTTTGGACCATTAGATCATCATACAATTAGATCCAACGCACCACATGCATGTTCCATGTTGCACCTTCTGAACATTGTCCTCACTTGATCAATACAGGCGTCTGGGCTCTTCTGTCTTGGGCCTAACATTTTTGCTTTCTAACACCCCCCCATTTCACTTATATTGCAGGCCCTTTTTTTTAATTTTTAATTTTAATTAACTTTTCTTCTTTTTTTTATCATTTTTTTATTTAATCAGAAAAATAATAAAATCACAAAAAAATTAGATTTAGGTTTTTAATTAGTTAACTTAATTTTTGACAAATAAAAATTAATTTAATTTAATCATTTTGTTTTATTTTATTAATTAATTTGCAAAACAATTAGAATTAGGTTTTGTCATTATTTTACACCATCAAACATTTTTCCAAACAAAAACAATAAAATATTTTCTTAAACACTTAGAAATATTTTTAGGGTTTCTTAAAACATCTTTCCCCTTTTCACTACCTTCGCGCACTTTATTTTCGCATTAGTATTTTCCAATATTGTAATTGCTCAAGGCATGTAATAGATAAATTAGGATTTTCTTTACTTTTTCATCCCCATTCATAAATTTGTACCCCCATTCCCGAAGCATTGTAATAGCGTAGGATATTTAATTTCTGCAATTTACCGCTTTCCTTATTACTGTTAGTAATTAGGGTTTGTATGACAAGATTAAAACTAATCATTAGAAACCTTAATTCCAAGATAAAATACTTGAAATTAAACACTTTGCACACGCGCACCTCTAGGTGACTCACACTAGTTGCCTCAGATTTAAACAGTCATGTCCCTCGAACGTGAGATGCTTTAGCAAAGACCCTCGGTTAAAAGATCGTAGTCCCTCGATGACCCTTCGATAAACGATCTTAGTCCCTTACGGTAATTGTTAAAGCATCCTACAAGTTGCCTTCTATGACTGTACGATGACCCACACATGTCCCCCACATCCAATGATAGGGATTCTTACTAACTAATGGTAGGGTTAACACTATCTAAAGGAGGAGGAAAAGAACAAAGACCATTGAGTAGGTAGATCGCTCGTAATCGCTTGCTCACAAACTAAAACAATCTTTACACCTCACACTTTCAAAACAACTACTTTTAAAACACTTTATAAACACTCTTGAGGACTAATACAAGGGTTATTATAAAGCTAATTGCCTTGCATGGGCATTTTCAAAATATCTTTCCAAAACAAGCACTTTCATCCAATAAATATTTTCAAAATAAACATTTTGTATACATTCTCAACGATACGAGAATCATTACAAAATTTTCGCACTTAGGCATTTTCAAAATATTTTCAAACATACACAAACATAAGGCATTTCAAAGAGTGATCAAGCGATTAAGAGTTTGTAGATAACTACGGATGAAAAGAGTTCTAACACCTTCTCTTTTCATAACCTACCCCCCTTACTCAAAAAATTCTCAAATGTCTTTCCTGTTCTTTTCACCCTTTCCTTTATTGGATAAAAGAAAAGTCGGTGGCGACTCTTGCTATCCGCAATATTTTTGATCAAACGCAAAACCCAAAAGTCAGTTCTCCCACTGTATTATAGTGTGCAAGGGTTATTTGGTTGTTTTAGCCAAAATTTGTCAAAGGGGGAGATTGTTATTTCTCTGAATTTGTGATTAGCAATAATTTTGGTAAAAGCAACTTGACAACAACATGTTGAATAAAGAAGTCTCAACTTGTTGTTTTCAACATGTCGAAGAGGATGTCCCAACCTGAAGATAAGACATTGTGTTTGCATCAGCCGTTAGTAACGTCTCAACTGATGTATCAGTTACTGAATATTTGGGGAATATTCAGTTAGCTTATGTGGTGTCTAAGATTGACAACTCAGATTATTTTATGTTGATTTTTGAAGATTTGCATAGTTTCTAAATATGAAGACATTTTAGAAAACTATTGATTGAAGACTAATTATCTTGGAGAAGTTCTTGCAGACTTTGTGCAACCTCATTGTCGCGGTTTTGAAGCCCAACCCAATCTATAATAATGTTATAAATAGACGGGTGTATACCTATTTTTAGGTGGAACTTATATGTGTATTTTTTTAGGGTTTTAGAAATCCTTATTGTTGGATTTTAAGTTCCTTGTCAGATGTTCTTAAGCTTTTAAGCATAGAAATTTGTGTGCCAGGTACTCACAAGTTGTGAAGCGTTGAGTACTTGTGTGTCAATTCTCATAAGCTTTTAAGCATTGAGTTTTGTGTGTCTTGGAAGAGTGACTTCTATTTTTATTCTCTACTTCTGTTAGAGTGTCTCCAATTGCTGAGTGTAATTGAAGAGAGATTTGAGGAGAACCGCATACCTAGGTGTGTCTTAGGTAGAAGTTAGACAAATGATAGTGATTAACTGTATAGGCTGTAAACTGAAGGTTTGTTGTGAGGTATATAAATTAATACTATCTAGTTAATTTTGTCTCTGGTTTGGTAGCCTCCAGAATAGAAGTTGTTGTCTCCAAATTGGATAAACATTATATAATGTTATTTACTTTCAGCACAATTTTATTTGTTTATACTTTTTACTGTTGTGTGTGAATCAGATCCGATATCTCAATATTTATTAAAATATTCAGAATCTGATGGTCAGAATTTCAATACTTAATGTATAGAAATGAGAGAGTTTAAATGATCAATTTTAAAATGATGGGAAAAGATAAAAATAAATATTTGTATAAATATAAAGGATGCTTGATTGAGTTATTATTACCAAAATAAGTATTTAACAAATTTCTTTAACGGAAATAATATGTCAATGCAAAACTATTGAATTTTGGAGCAATCATAACTGAGTGATTGATTGAGTTATTATTGATATAGTTAATAATCACCAAATGTGTACGGTATGCAATATAGGAGAAAGAATAATATAAATGATTTCTAATATGAGATCAAAACATGGATTGGATTGGTGTATCCACATCAGATTTGTCATAATTTATATTACATGGCGAATGAAATGGCAACATAAAGGTCCGCCGACTCTGTTTTAATTATTATAAATAGATAGATTTTATATCTACACGCGTGTACTACTTTAACACACAGAGACACCAAACATTTTATCTTTTTCTCTTTCATATTCCTAACAAGGAAAGACGCCACACCACATCACACCGAATAACATATATCACCATGGATGTAACTATTGAGTATCTATACGCAGTTGTTGCCGGAGTTTTAGGCATACTTCTAATTACTTATTCTGCGTTCTTTAGAGGTGAAGAAGCACAAGCACGACCACCTTTAGCTTCTGGTGGATGGCCTTTGATCGGCCACCTTCATCTCCTAGAAGGTGCAAATCAGCCTCCATACATAACCTTAGGAGACTTAGTCGACAAATATGGACCAATTTTCACCCTTCGAATAGGCATACACAAAGCCGTTGTTGTAAGCACTTGGGAGTTAGCCAAGGAGATTTTCACCACTCACGATGTCATAATCTCGTCTCGTCCTAAATTTACCGCCGCTAAAATTCTAGGACACGACTATGCTAATTTTGGATTCTCTCCTTATGGAAATTACTGGCAAATGATGCGTAAGGTCACGGCTTCTGAGTTGTTATCCGTTCGGAGATTCGAGTTGCTTCGAGATATTAGAGACTCGGAGGTGAAGAAATCATTGGCCGAGCTTTATAACAGTGATGGATTTGATGAGTTTGGTGATTTAAAAGTGGAGATGAAACAGTTGTTGGGAGATATGAACTTGAACGTGATTATGAGGATGATTGCTGGGAAGAGATATTCGAGCGATGGTGGTGATGAGAGAGAGGTGAGAAAGGTGAGGTGGGTTTTTAGAGAGTTTTTTAGGTTGACAGGTTTGTTTGTGGTTGGAGATGCGATTCCGTTTCTTGGATGGCTTGATTTGGGAGGACATGTGAAGGATATGAAAAAAGCTGAGCGTGAGATGGATAGTGTTGTCTATGGATGGTTGGAAGAACATCGCAGGAAAAATAATGATTCGGGAGAGATTGCTAAGACTGAGCAGGATTTTATTGATGTCTTGTTGTCTGTTCTTCAAGGTGTTGATCTCGATGGTTATGATCTTGATACTGTCATCAAAGCCACATGCTTGGTAAGCTTCCTTACCATTACGTTAACATCATTTCCAATTTCTAGTCTCATTTCTACACTTGAACATAGCTATTGAAGGATTATTTAAAACTAACAAGAATTTCATTAATGTATTTATCACCTATTAATTTATTGAAGGATAATTTAGTATTTTAATATGTTGCATATGTGATCCTAGTTTATGTGTATAAATAGACTAGTAATAATTGTCTCTTAAATCTAATCGTTTCTTACACTTTTGTAGTCGTCATTTTGCTGAGCAATAAAAACATATTCTCTCATGCTTTCTGTCTTCATCATCTTGTGCACTAACAATTGGTATCTAGAGCTCCGGTTCAGATCCACAGAGAAACATGAGTGAAACGGTGAGGCGTTGCGTGATTGATTTCGTTTATTGAATTCGTGTTGAATCTTGAACGAAATCGTAGCAAAATTATATTTTCTAATTCTGTGGAATTGAGAAACACTGTGTTTGGTGAGATCTGAGTGACTTGCATAAGGTTGAAGATGACCGGAAATGGTAGTCTGAGCATCAAACTTCTAGTGTTCGATGACAAGAATTAGAATCGCTCGAGGATTCAGATGCACATGTTGTTCAGTGCTCAAGATGTTCTTGAGCTTGTTACCGAATGTTACGTTTCGATTGTAGAGGATGTGACGGAAGAACATCGAAACGCGCATAGAGACAAAAGGAAGAAGGATCAGAAGGCGTTGTTCTACATTCATCAGTGTGTGGATGTGAACGTGTTTGAGAAAATCACTGATTCGACAACGGTGAAGGCTGCGTGGAACACACTGGTTATGTGTTACAATGGTGACACATCAGTGAAGAAGGTGAAGCTTCAGTCTTTACGAAAGCAGTATGAGAATCTCAACATGAAGGACAACGAGAAGGTATCTGGGTACATCTCTAAAGTGATTCTGATCACTAATGATATGAAAGCTTGTAGATAAACCATTTCTGAACAAGTAATCATTGAGAAGATATTAAGGTCTCTTACCCCTCAATTGAACATTCTAAAAATCTGGACACCATGAGAATAGAAGAGTTGTAAAGCAGTCTAGAGGCACAAGAGTTGCATCTGACTGAAAGAACTTCTGAAAGAGAAGTTGAGCAGACTTTGAAGGCTTCTTTTGTCAAGAAGGGTCATAAGAAAAAAAGCACAGTAGGTCTCAGAAGTCAGAAACCTTCACTTCTGATGAGAAGAAACATCATAAAGGAAATGAGAAGTACGACAAGAAGAAGGTTCAATGTTACTGTTGCAAGCAGTTTGGCCATTTTGCTAAACATTGTTGGTCAAACAAGGGAAAAAAATCAGAAGAAGCAAATATAGTCAGAGGAGATTCTGATGATGAACCTGTGCTATTGATGGCTTCTGAGTCTGATGGAAGATGTTTGATAGACTAGTGGTATATGGACACTGGCTATTCAAATCACTTGACTGGAAACAAATAATGGCTGATAGATTTTGACTCCAGAAGGAGGACAAAGATCATATGTGCTGATGATAAGTACCTTAATGCAGAAGGTATAAGAAATGTCAAAGTTAAAGTGAAGAATGGGAAAATTGTTCTGATCAAGAATGTTTGGCATGTTCTTAGAATTAAGAGAAATCTGATGAGTATGGGTCAGCTCATTGAGAAAGGTTTCTCATTTATTATGAATAACAATCTCTTGAAGTTGTATGATTCCAATCAGAATTTGATTATGCAATCTGAACAGGAAAGCAACAGAACATTTAAGGTAAATGTGGAGACAGCTGAAACAGAATGCCTTAGTACAGAAGACGGTGAAGGTGATAGTAAGTTGTGGAATAATAGGTTGGGGCATATGAACTACAGAAGTTCGTGAGTGGAATTCCAAAGATTGTGAAGTCGGAGAAGTCATGTGAGGTATGCATGAAACGCAAGCAACCCAGATTGCCATTTGTGTCAGAAGTAGCCCCAATAGCAAAACATGCTTTGGGAGTAGTGCATTCTGACGTGTGTGGACCATTTCTAGAACCTTCACTTGGAGGAAACAAGTATTTTGTGTCTTTTGTGGATGAATTCACAAGAATGATGTGGGTAACACTCATCAAGTTTAAGCATGAGGTGTTTACTGAATTCTAGAAGTTCAAGGTGAAGGTTGAGAAACAAAGTGGTCAGAAGTTGAAAATTCTCAAAACATATCGTGGAGGTGAGTATAACTCTACAAAATTCCAAAAGTTCTGTGAGGAGAATGGAATTGAGCATGAGGTTACTACTCCTTATACTCCTCAACACAATGGTCTTGCTAAAAGAAGAAATCATACTTTGCCTGATATGACGAGAAGCATGCTGAAAGAGAAGAAGCTTCCTCACATCTTGTGGGGAGAAGTTGATGCCGCTGCAACATATGTGCTCAACAGGTGTCCAACGAAGAAGCTAAAAGAAATTTTTCTTTTAGAGAAGTAGACTGGAGGCAAGCAAAGTGTTATCCATCTAAATGTGTGGTTTTGTATGTTACAAACACGTTCCAGAAGCTAGAAGACAGAAGTTGGATGATAGAAGCAAAGTGATGTTACTAGTGGGGTACCACAATACATGTGCGTACAAGCTTTATTGTCCAGAAAACAATAAAGTGGAAGTCAGTAGAGATGTCATTGTAAAATAATCAGAAAGCATGGGATTGAAGAAAGTCTCAATCCATTCATGGTGTAGTACCAACACTAGAGGTAACTTCTGAAGATACTTTAGAAGGTTCTGAAAATGAGTCAGAACTTGAAAGTTTTGAAGAAGAGTCAGAGTCAGAAGATGATTCTGGAGACTTTGAAGATCAGTCAGATGGTGAATCTGATTCTGATCCAGATTTTGATGATGATCCTAAATTTGGTGGTGGTCATGTTTTTGAAAGGTAAAACTCTGAAGACGTTGGTTCTGAAGGACAAGCTTTTGGAGGTGATCATACTTCTGAAGGTAGTGGTTCTGGAGGACAAACTTCTGGAGGTGATCATACTTTTGAAAGTAGTGGTTCTGGACTAAGTTCAAAAGCTAACGTTGTTCCAGTTTCTATAGAAGATTCATAACAAGTTCAGAGGCCACAAAGGATGATACAAATACCAAGGAGATTTGTAGAGTTTGACATGTTGCCAGACACTGAAGTAGATTCCGAAGGAGAAGTCGTTCAGTGTGCCATGTTAGTAGATTTTGAACCAGTGGGTATTAAAGAAGCTCTCAAGAAGAAAGTATGGCTGAATGCCATGAAAGAAGAACTCGGGGCTATATAGAAAGAAACAAGACACGGGAGTTGACTAAGCTTCCAAACGAGAAGAAAGCCATCAGTGTCAGATGGGTTTTCAAGGTAAAATTTAAGTCAGATGGATCAATTTGCAAGCACAAAGTAATCCTAGTGGCTAGAGGTTTTCTTCACAAACCTGGGCTATATTACTTTGAGGTTTTTGCGCCTGTAGCTAGATATGAAACAATCAGACTGGTGATTGCTATAGTTTCAAATAGAAATTTCCCTATGATGCATATGGGTGTGAAGTTTACATTTCTGAACGGTCTATTACAAGAAGAGGTATACGTGTCACAACCTTTTGGATTCGTGTAAAATAATCAGAAAGGTATGGTGTACAAGTTACATAAAGCCTTGTATGGATTGAAGCAAGCGCCCATAGCTTGGAACTTGAAGATTGATTCATTTTTCAAGAAGTAGGGGTTTCAGAAATGTGAGATGGAATATGGCGTTTATGTACAGCATTCTGGAGGCAATATGATTCGGGTGTGTCTCTATGTTGAGGACATATTATTGACATGTAACTGTTCTGAAGAGGTTGTCAAGTTCAAGAAGATTCTGATGAATGAGTTTGAAATGACTGACCTAGAAAAACTGGTATACTTTCTAGGGATGAAGATATTGTACTCTGAGAATGGTATAATTTTGCATCAGCTAAAGTATGAACTTGAGCTTCTGAAGAGATTTAAGCTGTAGAATTGTAAGGCTGCTGTCACACCTTCAGAAACCAATCATAAATTGGATCCTGATTCTTATTCTGAGGATATGGATGCTACAACCTTTAAACAATCGGTTGGTTCTTTAAAGTATTTGTGTAATATCTTACCTGTTACTTGCTATTCATTTGGAATGGTTAGTAGGTTCATGAGTAAACCTAAGTGGTCCCATTACCAAGCCGTTGTCAGGATTCTGAGGTATATCAAGAAATATTTGAAGTATGGAGTAGTATTCCCTTCTGGAAGAAAGACTAATTCAGAGCTGATGAGTTATTCAGACTCTGATTGGTGTGGAGATATAGTTGACAGAAGAAGTACTTCTGGATACTTGTTTAAGTTTCTAGGAGGTCCTATTTCTTGGTGTTTGAAGAAATAACCTGTTGTTGTACTATCAACATGTAAAGATGAATACATTGCATGTGATGTAGTTGCATGTCAAGCTATTTGACTTCTGAATCTACTACAGGATCTGAAGATCAAGGTAGACAAGCCGCTGAAGTTGATGATTGATGACAAATCTGCAATCAATCTTGCAAAAAATCCAATGCTGCATGGGAGAAGCAAGCATATTGAGACAAAATATCATTTCTTGAGAAGTCAAATCTAGAATGGAGTACTAGAAGTTGTGTACTATAGCATCCAAAAGCAACTGACAGATGTTCTAACAAAGGTGATCAAGACGGATCAATTTCTCCACATAAGGGATGAAATTGGTGTTGTTAGTTTTGATTAGAAAATCCTAAATCAAAGAATGATATTGAAAGATAATTTAATATTTTAGTATGTTGTCTATGTGGCTCTAGTTTGTGTGTATAAATAGATTAATAGTAGTTGTCTTTTAAATCTAATCTTTTTCTACACTTTTATAGCCGTCATTTTACAGAACAATAAAAATATATTCTCTCATTTTTTCTATCATCATCATCTTATACACTAACATAATTTGTTAGTGCGTGAGGCACTTTTACTGAGGAGAGAAAGAGGGAATAATAAAGAAAAATAAGGATTTGTATTATTCAAGTGTAC